AATAATTTTGAAATATTTTAAATAAACAATTTTTTTATATTAATCAGAATAAACTTCATTTTTGTGTAATAGGTAATAATTTAGATTTGACATATTTTCTCTATTAAATAAAACATTTGGTGTAAAAAGTAAAAATCCTTTTATTTATACATTTGTGAAAGAAATCAAAAGAAAACTATACTTATGTTACTGTCTTTTTCTTACTATAAAGAGTATTTATTACTAAACAAATTAAATTAACTATTCATAATTACAATTGTTTTAATATTACATGCTATGCTATTTCTATCTACTTATCCTTATCAAAATACTTTGTAATAACATTCAAACATTCTTTCATAAATTCCAACCATTGAGCTTGTAATACAAGCTCTTGATCTCGCTGTCTTACCCTTTCACGAATCTCATAATCATGCAACTCTTTTCTTTCTTTCTCTAATTTCTCGTACGTCAAATCACGCTCTCTAGCATACTGTCTAGTATTCCTATCAGATTCTATAAATAATTTTACTAAGCTATCTTTCTTATTTCTTTTGGGAGCGGGTGGTTGCCATTCGTCTGCGTCATCAATGGTCGGAAGTCCAATATCATTTGTAGCTGTTGGTGGATGTACAGTAGGCTGGCTGCTAGTGCCTGGAGTGTTCCAATGTTCTTCTATAATACATAAAACGCAATCATACATTAAATATAACTTTTAAAAATAATTTGTAAGTAGTAATAATGGTTTATATAAAAATATTAAATAATTAAGTACATATAAGTACCTGTGGTTTCCTCTAGTATTGTTTCATGCTCATTTTCGGTAGGAATGTCAGGTGTATGAACTTCAGTCTATAACAAAAAAAAAACAAAAGAGTAAAAAAAAACCCGAAACGAGATTTGAATCTTCGTCTTTTGTCGAAATAAGTATTTTAATATGATTTTCGTTATACTTTTCAAAGCTTAAACATACATATAAGATATAATACAATTTGAGAAGACTAAGAATTATTTTTATTATAATAATGATAATATCGTGTTAATTATAACGGTTTAATAATAATATAAGGTAACAAACATGTAGAATAAATAATAACTAAACCTTTTGAAACCCAGCCTCCACAATCTCCATGCCAGTAGCTGCCTGTACTCCAGTTATTTGTATGACTCTATTTTCTAAATCAGTCAAAGATAATTAAAGTGCAGGCCCACCACCAGTGCCACTAGCAGCTCTATTAATTTTGGCCCATTTCCTTTTGGTGTTATTTTTTAAATCGCTCCACACCTTCAATATAAAAAATAACTTTGGAAGATACGTTCTAAATATAATAACAAAAAATTTCTTTGCCTAAAGCTAGACAAAAACTTGAGTGTTAAGCGATTAGGGTGACCACTTGAGAATGCATACCTTGCGCCACTTCTCCTCCAAGCGAAAATCACCCGTCCCTTCACTGTTCAATTTTTGTGTTAATTCCTTCCATTTTAATTGAATAAAATGACGACTCCTAGGACCACCAGATGGTTTAGACAAATCTCCGTTTCTGTAATAAAACTAATTAAAGCTTAATACCAATAAAACTAATTAAATGTGTGTGTAAATACAAAATCATAATAATGCTTTATTGATTTATATAAAGGCATAATAATTATTCACTTTACTTACTTTTCCATAAACTCTACCCACAATATTGTAATTATACCGCTCCGCCTGGGATGCCCCTTGTATCAACTTGACAAAATCAAGCTAGTTGTTCGGAATTCGAAGGTTGTTAAACCTTATACGTAGAAGGTTACGCAGATTTTAACAAAATCGGTAGCTCTTCAACCACACTTGACTTTTCTTCTTCGTGTTGCTCGTAAACTAGTTCCATCACTTTTGCCTCACTTTTTGGAAGATGCAGCTGTTTTTGACTAAAAACTTCACTCCGAGTGGCGGCGCGTATAGTAATGCCATCTTGTGCAATCAGACGGGCCACAACTTCTGCAGCTTTAACTATTACCTCCGGCAAACTCGCGTCAATGCTCAATGCAAAACAAAGCAGTTTCGAATTGACGTTGCTTCGAAAAGTATAAACTGTCAGTGCAATGCGATTGTGATATAGTTTTGACCTGGCTTTGGATTTCAAATATTGATATTGCATTACTGTTGACCCTTGCTCGTTAATTTGGACTCTGTTCAAGCCCTTTGTTGTGAATTTCGTCTATATAACCGAACGTACGCAGAGAACTGTTTTAAATAGTCAGACACGTGAGTTCGTAATACGCCTTCGGAACTATTTTGATCGTGAATCTCAAAATGGAGGGCCAATTTTACCTATAACGTCAGTGGTTGAACGCGTAGCTGATGCGCTAAATATTGGACAATGAACTGTTAGACGAATAACTAAAGAAAAATATGGCGAGACTGGCACAGAAGAAAATAAACTTCACACACCAAAAAAGAGAAAACGAGCAAAACCAGTCGTAGGCATCGATAGCTTTGATGCCGATGCTATCCGAAGACATGTTTACGGCTACTATTTGGAAGGAAGCTGGATTATTTTTCGGTGGGGAAAGTTCTTTAACGAAGATTTTGAAGACCATAGGATTTCGATACAAAAAATGTAACAAACGCAAAATATTGATGGAAAGATTTGATATAGCGATGGCAAGGTATACTTTTTTACGGCAAGTGAAAGAAATCAAAAATTGGCAAAATGTTGTGTTCTTGGATGAAACATGGCTCAATGCTAAAATTAGAAAGAGCTCAAAGACTGATACTAAAAATTTGTTTTTTAAAATCTTTGCTATATCCGACATAAGAAATATACAGTGATATGAAGGTACTGACAGTTAGACAATTGTTCTTTTTAAATATCATCTTAAAACAACATTCCCTTATAACATTTGATAATAATCATTCGAGATCTAAAACTAGAAGGAGACATGTAGTCTGTCCTAGACGTGTTCCTAGGACATCTTACGCTTATAACTTCTTTCCGTTTTTGAGTGGTAAATTATACAATGAATTTAACAGATTGCTAGAAATATATCCCATGACAAGGCATAATTGTAAGAATGTAGTAACATCATACCTTCTGAGTCTAAATTACAATGAAACTGAAGATATTTTGAAAATTAAGGCTTAAAGATTTATTGGATATGGAGATGTGTGAATGTTTGTATGTACACATTCACAAACACTCTCTTACTATAAACACATACACACAAGCACACACTTACACAAAAATGCACAACATTCGCCCACTCGCTTGCATACGGTCACAAGTCTCAACTTGATGTGATACTTTTTTTTGCTTTTCATTGTTTTGAAACCTTTTCTTTAAAAGTGGCATTGTGGTTATTAATTCGAGAGGTGGAGGCCAGGAGTGCCATAGAACGGGGTCTACCTAGTTTGGACTCCTGTCTTCTACATAAACTTGCTGTATTTTTATGTTGTACACATTTGTTGCTCGAAATGTAGAAGAAAATAAAATAAAGATTATTATTATTATTATTATTATAACACTATTGATTATTTTTCTAATAAAACCCAACATTTACTCAAACATTTAAACAGCGCAGCGTAAGCAACAAATGAATCTCGAGAATTACTGATTGTTTAATTTTACACGAAAAATCGTAATTTAGCAGCCCGCGCTGGCAACGTCGCAGCAATATACGACAGAAAGCTTTATATATTATAGATACCAAAAAATGTAACGTGTGTAATCGAGACAGACGATCTCTCAATGAAACAGGTGAGATTTTTACGCTAGCCTAAGCGAATGCGACACTTATAGGTGGCAGAGCGGCAATGTCCGTGATTATACATTTGTGACCTCAAAAGGGTCATAATCAGAGGATAATTGACAGCTTTAAACCTTATAAAAAATTTGCTTCTGTGTCAATAAATAAGTACAAAGAATGTATTGTCATCGAGTATGTAGCTTTATCTCTATTTCGGTTTCTTTGATAGCGTATTTCTGTGAAAATCTTAATTCACCTTACTAGGTCCTGGTCGAAGTTCGATTATATCAGTCACGTCAGTCCCGTCAGTAGTGTTGTCAATTTATTCGGCAGTCGGTGGGTTCGTGCACTCGCTGGCCTAGCACGTCCCTACCCTGTCTGGGGTATGTCTCTCTTGTGTGCCTGAGATACATGTCCAAACCGGTGAAGAAGCCGCCCTTCAGGCTGGGTAAAAGGGGGCGTACCGGTGCGGATTTAGTGCCTACACTGGCTGATATCGTTCCATCGCCTTTTACCCATAGTGAGGTACATGCCATTGTAACGCCCAGACATATTTGCAGCATTGTCATAAGACTGGCCTCTGCATTTTGAAAAATCTAATCCACAATGTTCTTCAAGGTATTGAAGAGTTTGCTTTGCCAGTTCATCTCCTGTGTGATTAGTTTTTAACTCAATAAATGTAAGGAATCGCTCTACTGGCTGCTCATCTTTTATATAGCGAAAAACTACGCTGAGCTGGTCCAAGTGTGTCAAATCCGGCGTAGAATCTACTGAAAGACTATAATATCTAGAATCTTTTATCTGTGATATAATTTTACCATGCACTTCTTGGGCCATTATCATAATCAACTCTTCGTAGATCGTTTTAGATAAATAAGAGACATTTCCTTTTCCGGTGTTTCCATATTTGGTTATGTGTGCCGCTAAAAAGGGATCTAATTGACTTATAAGTTCCAGCAACGCTAGAAAATTTCCATTCTGAGGAGATCCAAATTTTTCTACTGGACCGCGAAAAGGAAGGCCTCTTACTGCCAATGTGCGAATAACAGCTATAACTCGCTGTAATACGTGCTCCCAGTAAACATTCTCTTCATGAATTTGTTTATCAAAGCCTTGATGCAAGCTTAAGCCTTGCCTGCGTGTTAAATATGTTAATAGGCAATCTCTGTGACTAGAACTTTTTTCGTGACCTTCAATCATTACTTTGGTATTCCTCCAGTCACTAAAACATGTTGAACTAACAAAAACTGAAGATTTATCTGAACAAAAATGCTTACATACGAAATATCACTTTACGATCCTGTAGACGGCGAATAAAGTAGCCACTCTCTTTTGTAGTTTTCGCCATTAGGCTTTCGGCCAATAAATACTTTTTCATGGCAGTAACGCGATGTTGAACCATAAGTTCGACGGGATTTTTCAAATGAACTATTGTGATTTTGACAGTCATTTGGTCCACAAGATAGCCAATATTCCAAGTCAACGTTTGAAAATTCAAGCCATAGCCCTGGATCATTTTCTTGATTTGGTGCTGTGTTAATTTCAGTTTCGTTTATTATATCTTCAGTATTATTCAAGGTTTCAAATTCAGAATCACAAGGTTCTTGAATCGTATAATTTTCTTCACTGTTTTTTGACGTCCCTGGAATTGGAATATCATCTGATGGCGGTGGCCCAGATTGAGGGGGACGGAAAAAACTTGTTAACTTTTTTGTTTTACTTATTGTTTCGGCTATTTTTCTTTTATTCTCTTCTGCGTGTTTTCGTTTTGTGCACCACTCAATTGCGAACGCTTCATATTTAATCTAGGGGTATGTAAAGAAATAAATTATTAAAAAGAGTACTTAAACTCTGTAAAGTGGAATTAAATTAATCCGAAGCCGAAGGCTTCAAAGCCCTTATAAATTCAATTCAAGCAAAATCATTCAAAAAACGATCGCAATATTCCGCCCGTACAAACTTATAATCTTACGTGAAGTGTAGTAAAAGCTTGTATAATTCGCGCAAGGATTAGCTCAATGCATGCGCAGAAACCGCCGCATTCAAGGTCAGCGCTCATAACTCATGCGAATTATAACAATACCTATTAGCTTTTAAATTAAAGCCCGAGCCCGACCGACCGCTGGATATCGGAAGTCGTCTTTCAGTAGGTATCATTTGACACGCGTGTCATTGACCTCTCAAACTAATTTAACTAGGAAAAACTATTTCGGAGCTTGCAGAAACCTTCAGCTTCGACTGGTTTGAGTAAATTTTACATAACCAAAAGTAATTACTTAAATGAAACGAAATACTTTAGATATTTTGACTTTGGACGTTATCAAACAAAATAAAATAAAACTTTACGTACCTAAGCGAACACAATATTATTATGAACAGAACTTGAATTAATTGTCAACAAACACACTTACCTACACTAATTTGTGCTGTGCGAGTCACACAGCACGTTGATTTTTAGTTTACTGAAACTATTACTGAATAATTATCAAACAAACGAATTGTATTACGCATGCATAGAAGCCGGCCGGCACAATTACTCAAAAAACAAAACATTTGATTGAAATGACACAGATTTGCGGGGGCGCCAGGCGGGGAAGGGGTGGGTTCGAGTGGTTTGTGATTGGCTGATCGCAATTCCGGTGCATTCGAATTGCGGAATACACTAACGGACAGCGAGTGGGCAAGCGGGAGCGGGGTTATGTATGACTCTAGGTCGGACTCTATTTCAACTTAAAACGAAGTAGTAACGTTTTTGGTGTGGTCTTTGGTGACGTGAGAGTGAGACGTGATGCCCTAAGGACGGATTTTTTTTGTGCTTCATCTGGTGCCCCCCCAGACGTGATGCCCTAGGCAATTGCTTAATTTGATTAAGGGTTAATCCGTCACTGCTTTTGTGGTATACGGAAAACGTTACTGTGTGAGTTATAATTGGGGAGTCATCTCGAAACATTTGCTGAGTACGTGGTACGTGGTGCTGGTACTGAATTGGTTGATTGTTAAATTTAAAAGACTGAGGTGGTAGTTGGAATCCACGTTGTCCAACGTGAGTTGGCCACATAGGTAATCGCATAAATTGAGGTCGCAGGGTTGGCATTGTTACAGGTGGTACTTGAGGAGACACCTTAGGGTTATGATGAACTTTAGATGTATCACCGCGTATTCTAAGGCTTTTTCTATAGTCGGACGGAGCATGCAACGAATGCGTGACCCTAGAGGTTCATTGAGTCCTTTACAAAGGCTTGCATAGTTACTTTTTTTATATAACGCGCGTTTTGCTTCTACTGTTGTACTAACAGTTTCGTGTAAAGTATTGTATTTAATTTTATTTAGTATACCATTCAATAACTACTAAACAATATTAAATAAATTTTCGGTCCCTCTTTTATGAATTCAGCTACTATTCGATCACAGATATAGAATCTTCAAATTCTGGTATAGACGGAAAGTTTTAAAAATTGTATCGTTATCCATTTTATGACTAATAATTAGACTAGCTACCTGGGTTTGGGTATTTGATTGCTCTTTTATTATTTACTCTAAATTTATATCTCTTTTTAAATCTAATATATATTGGCGAGACTGTTGTGATACAGGTTGCCGTACTTTCAAACTCCTCGGGTGAAATATTTTGAAATATGTTTTAGGATAAGGACTTAAGGAAAGCAACACGAGAAAATTTCAAGTGGTTACAGCATTAACATATACAGCATCATCTGGTTTTCCCTCTGGAATCGATTTTTAGATTCGCCTCTGGACTGCAGCAGGTTCGTAGATCCCTCGGCGCTAGCAAGCCGCCCAGGCGACACGCGATCGCTTCCGCGATCGACGTATATTTCACATTTATTACAACCTAACACCTTTTTAAAAATAAAGCTTCTCGAAAAGTTTCATTTTAGAATGTACAAAATGAACTTTGGGAAGATTACGACAAGTCACAGACTAGTTTGTTTATTTAGTGAAAACATTGTGACAGATGATCAACTGACAGCTGTTGTGCATGTTTAGCGCGCGTAATTTGATGAAATTTATTAATTAGCTCTGCAGCATATGCCGTAATGAAGATACGTAGGTTAACTGACATAGATACTGCCAGATTGGTATACTTCAGTTACTTTTATAGTGTGATGTCGTACGGAATCCTATTGTGGGGAAATGCTGCCGACATACAAACGATTTTTGTGCTAGTTGGAGTTAATTGGAGGAATATATTCTTTAAGATTGGTCTCTATACCTAATAAATGTTCTTTGATTGTAGCTGAAGTATCATATGGCAAAGAACTAATATTATACTCTTTTTGTAATTCAGTTAACTTATTGAACGCTGTGTAGTTACCAGTTTCAGCGATGTGACCACAGATTAAGTTTTTTTCTTGCAGCTTCCACTTTTTATTGTACTTTAAAAATTAGTTATTTCGTTGCCTCGTAATGTGTTATTTAGATTGTTTAAAAAATCAAAAATATCGGAAATGTAGGCAACTTTTACCAACCAATGAACATCACGAAATCTGCCCTTCAATTCATATATTACGTCTCTGGCTGTTGGGGGATTTTATTCCAAGAATACTGCAATTTCTGATTTCAATTCAATAAGCATTTTTAAAACTTTCCCTCTTGATAACCATCTAACCTCACAGTGTAAAAGAAGATGTTCGTGATCACTTCCCATTTCTTGGCACATGCCGGAAAATATTCTTGAATTCAGTGGACGAGATTTTATATTATGAATTTGACACACTCTTGTATCGTTGCAGTTAGCATTTTTTTGGCTGCCAACGCCTCTCTGTGAATACAACAATGCGTCCATACACATTCTGGTGCTTCGGCTTTTCCCCTTGGATAAAGCCCAGTACGAATGCCTGACATTACGCGTGCTCCATCGCTACTCAATCCTACACACTTATTCCATTCAATGTCATTTTTGATCATATAATAATTAATCAACTTAAATATTTCTTCTCCTGTAGTTTTTGTTAGCAAAGGTTTACAAAACAAAAACTCTTCATGAATAGTATTTTCAAAATCATATCTCACGAAACATATCAGATTGGCATAATTTGATATGTCTGTACTTTCATCAACTTGCAAGGAAAAATAATGGCATGATTTAACATGTCTAACAAAAGTTTTTTCAATATCATCTTCTATATCTACGATTCTACGCTTCACCGTGTTATTCGATAAAGCTAACGGATTTACTAGGTTTACCTGTTCTTTTATTTTTCAAATAATCGCGATGCTACAATTTTTATTGCCGGAAGTATCTTCTCACCAATTACGTGTGGATAGCCAGACTGAGCAATTAATTATGAAATTTCATAAGAGGCCAGCACAAGATTAGGAGTTTGAGTACTTTGCGAAAAAAATTAAAATAAATTGATTCCATATTTTTCTTGCTAGAATTTAACAATATTTTCTTATTTACAAAGAACTCTTTTGGCTTTTCTTTGTACTCAGGATGTTTCAGTTCCAAATGCCGCATCAATTTTGAAGGTTTCATAGATTCGTTTTCAAGTTCTGTATTACAAATTACACACAGTGGTTTGCTATCGCTGCCTTCTATAAAGCCGAATTGAATATAATCTTCAAGATATTTCGACTCCAAGAGTCCTTCTTCTTTTTTGCAAGACTTATCTGTGCATCGTGCGAAGGTTTTTAGGATTCACTATTAGTACTTATACTTGGCTGTACATCACTCAACTGTTAATTTGAGCTGCTATCTGAACTGGTACTTTGTTTTATTAACCACTTATAATGGATAAGTCAGTCAGTGCTTAAATCACAATAAATAACCGTTTTCTAAGTAATACGTAATTTGAATCACGCACTACGCGCGGGAATAGAAAGGGCTGCAAAGAGAGACTGAAACAAGAGCTAGCTATAACGCATGAGTGCACCCCTCCCAACCCCCGTGCGCGCCATTAGTTATGTGGCGTTTTGGAACGACACGATATTATTTTATATAGTTGGAAACACTACACATTTTTGTTATGACATTAATCCTGGAGACGCAATAAGATATAAGCGACCTTTTTTATAGTATATGACTCTGTGCATATAAGTCACAAGTGATGTAAAAATACCCTGTAAGCTGGTGCTTATGATAAGCTTAAAGAAGAATTGATTCGCCGGTTATCTACTTCATCAGAACAACGTGTACGACGTCTCTTGAGTGACGAAGAACTCGGTGACCGGAAACCATCAGCTTTTTTGAGACATCTTCGGTCCCTTGCGGGGACATTTACGAAAGATGATAATTTACTGCGGCAGCTCTGGTTGCGTCGATTGCCTAATCATGTACAGGCTATACTAGCCGCCCAAGCTGATCTTAGCTTGGACAAAATCGCAGAACTGGCAGATAAAATTATGGAACTACCAACTTCACCACTTCATCAAGTGACTAGTGTAGATCAAACCTGCTCTATTCCTACTCTCACCTCGTTAGCTGAAAGTGTTGACCAACTTTCGAAACAAGTAGCTGCCCTCACTTCTGGTAGTCGACAGCGAGGTCGTTTCAGGGACCGCAGCATTACACCATCTGCCAGGAACCGTAGCCTCACGCCAGCTGATCGCAATTCAAAGCATTGTTGGTACCATGCTACTTTTGGTGCCAAGGCACTAAAATGCATTCAACCATGCAATTACAATACCTTTCAGGGAAACCCGAACAGCAGCAGTCAATAAGGGCGGACACCGATTGCTGCTCAGTCAACTCCTCGGGCCGCCGTCTTTTCGTGACTGACCGAACATCGAAACGTCGATTTCTCATTGACACAGGTTCCGACCTCTGCTGTTACCCGCGTCGCTGGCTGTCTGACCAAAGAAAATCTTCCGATTCAATCCCTGCGCTTACCTGGCGAAATGCTAGCGCCTTTACCCGGTATAGAGTCGCCGGACGATCCAGCAGATTATGTCGCTCAGTTACGAAAAAAAATGGCCGCCATACGCCCGATACCTGCTGCGCACCATAACAAACAAGCAACTTTCATCTTCAAGGACCTCTATACTGTATCACACGTATTTTTACGAGACGACACGGTGCGCCGTCCACTACAACCTCCATATACAGGTCCCTAAGTTATAATCGATCGATCTAGTGACGGTAATACCTTCACTTTAGAAATCAAAGGTAAACAAGTCGTAGTGAGCGTCGACCGTATCAAACAGGCCTATGTTGAGCAAGACGCGACCCCATCATTAGACTATCAAAAACCATCATCTGCAAACTCATCCCGAGCTCAGTCCACGCCATATCCTCCAGTGACTGATACCGCACCTCAACTAGGTAAACAACCAGTGACCACGCGGTCTGGCCGTCAAGTCATATTTAAAGACAAAGATGATTATCTATACTTTTAATTTATCATATAGTTATAGTTATCGGTTATTATAGGTTAAGTTATATTTTCACTCCAACTTATCCTTCTCCGTGGGGGGGTGGTGTGGCGTTTTGGAACGACACGATATTATTTTATATAGTTGGCAACACTACACATTTTTGTTATGACATTAATCCTGGAGACGCAATAAGATATAAGCGTCCTTTTTTATAGTATATGACTCTGTGCATATAAGTCACAAGTGATGTAAAAATACCCTGTAAGTTGGTGATTATGAATAAAGCATGATTGGTTGAATAGCAGTTATTTGTTTACCAAAGTTACAATATCTACAATACACCCGTTGAGCGATCATCATTGTCTCGTTAGTCAAGAAATAAAATTGACCATCTCCTAGTACTTATTTAAAGTTGCAGCATTGCCTCCATAATGCTGCGACCCGGTATTTTTTTTATTGGCGACCCACCTGATGGGAAACGCTGGTATAAACGATACATTTCAGTATGTAATATATGTATTTTTCATTTTTGAATTAAGAAATATGACATTTTTGCCTGCTTTTGTTTTTTTTATTTTATTGTAATAACAGTCTCTAATAGTCTTGTGTAAAGAATACATCGCCATGGTCAAATTATAATTTTCAACATTGCTATGAACAAATCGTAAGAATAATTCTGCAGCCTTTAATGCCTTTTCTGCGGTAGGTAATGTTTCTTCTTCGACTTCCTTTTTTCCATCACTTTCAAGTTGTTCCGGTGGGTTCTTCGGACGTCAGGAGAGCTCTATCGATATCAACATAATCTTCACACATTTTCGGTGCTGCTAAATACTCTGAATTTAGATTTCGTGACTAGCAAGATAAAGGGACGTCATCCTCGTCATCAAATTCAGGTTCTGCTACTTGAACAGGTAAATGATCGTGGTTTTCAATGAATCCTGCATGTTTGAAAGAGTTGTAAATGGTATTTTGTGACAATTTATTCCAGACATCATTAACCATCAGGATTGCATCTAGCACCGTTATTTTTGTAGAAGATTTGTTTTCATTAGCATAAAACCATTAATAAATTTTAAAACAAGGTTTTTTCTAAAATTGGTTTTGAGTGATCGTATTATTCCCTGGCTGTACTACTGATGTTGTATTCGGCGGAAGGAAAGCAAGTGACAGGGCCCGATCGACTAACACACAGTCGAAGTTAGTTCCCTGATTTTACACAGAATTTATACAATATACACTGAAAACATGTCAAATAAAATACATAGGTAACTTCATATTTTGTTCACCAAAGATTATATTTTAGTTATGCCAACAATTTCAGCCCACCCTCCTTGAGGGCGAGCCTTCGTCAAATTATCAATCTGCCTATCGACCGCATGTCCGCAGTTCATATTTCCTGCCTGAGCTCAGGGTGACCCGCCCTCTTTGAGGGCGACCCTTACCAAATCATCAATCATCCAGCCCGCTCTCTCTGAGGACGAGCCTCCAACAAGCCATCAATCGTACAGCCCGCTCTCCCTGAGGGCGAGCCTCCAACAAGTCATCAATCATCCAACCCGCTCTCCCTGACAGCGAGCGTCCAACAAGCCATCAATTGTCCTACCCGCCCTCCCTGAGGGCGAGCTTCCAACAAGTCGTCAATCATCCAGCCCGCCCTTCCTGAGGGCGAGCCTCCAACAAGCCATCAATCGTACAGCCCGCTCTCCCTTAGAGCAAGCCTCTAACAAGCCATCAATTGTCCTACCCGCCCTCCCTGAGGGCGAGCCTCCAACAATTATCAAGCTGCTCACCGGCCGCATGTCTTCAGCCAGTCTAACTTCCTATTTTCATCAGATTTTTCTTTTGTTATCGCACTGTTCATAGGTCGCATTTTATCTACTAAATATTATGATAACATAACTGGAAGTTGATCGATTTTAAGAAATTCAACCTCTTTGTAATTTTGAATCTCAACAACAGCTTCTTGAATGTGGACGCATCAGTTTGATGATCTTCAAAATAACCACAATTCTTCTTCAAAAATCTTTCTGTTTCTGTTAGATTTTCAAGTGGCGTTCTTTTCAAAAATGTAATTATTTCTTGCCCTACGATATTTTTTAAAGTTTCATGTGTCATAACTTTATTAGAATTTTCTAGTTGTTTTGATTTGTGACAAATTATTGAGAAACCATTGCGAAACACAACTATCCGTTGGCATATAACATAAATAGTACAGTAAGGGTTGTTTTAGCTACAGCGTAATCAACTTCATACACGTCTCCTTCTCCTGTTAATGAAATAACTTTGCCAATTTTGAGACATCATTGAATGTTACATTCGTAACATTAAAAACACGAGATGTGTCCAGTAAGATGTCAAAGTTGTTGTTTTCCTTAATATAAAGCTCAATATAGTGGAACCACATTTGATGTTTTTTTTCTGAAACCTTAGCACTGGCTGATGTTACAGCTTCGGCAGTGCGTTCACCGAGTTTTA